TAACTGTCGTCATTGTTAGACCTTCGTGCTGTTTATACCTGGGGCTATAGCTATACTCCAAATAAATTTGTGTCATTAGAAGAATTAAGGTAACAGCATTAGAAATAGTATGGGGTACGAAGCAGGATCATCTACGAATACCCACACCCTCTCAATATACCATCAGAACCACGTGGACAGACCAGCAGAACCACAGGACCACGGGGGGAAGGGGAGAATCACCAGGACAGCATAGGTACCACAGGGTGAAGCTTTCAGTTTCCTGCCAGTGCAGTCACATGTCCAACCACCAATGCATGATGTCCTATGCTCAAGGTTCTAGTGTAGGGACTACCAGCACCTCTGTGCCCGAGTATAGAAAAGAGACCTGACCGCCTTGCTGTCTGTACCGTAGAGAGGACAGACGACAGTAACGCACACGTTGCCTCTCACAGGAGAACCACCAGCACAACAGCACCACAACAACCACAGGGTCCACAGGGGGGAGGAGCAGAACCACATGAACAGGACCACAGGGAGGGGGGGCCAAACCATGGGGGAGGGGGTAGGTTAGGGACCCTGGATCATATATATATATATACATATGCGTTAGAAATCATATACGTAAAGGTACATCATATACCGGGCAGCATATGTATATTGAGATGCACATTTGAATGCCTTATGTGTACAGTCTGTCTTGTAGGTATGTACGGGACCCAGGGATTCTTCATAAGGGGCTCTAATTTGATGGTCCTTGCTCAAGAGAAAATGCAATGTAAGTATACAATCACAGAGAACTTTCATAGCGACGGTAAAGGTATTTGCGGCCGTGGTGGCGGTGGCATTGGTGTCGGTAATGGCGATAACTTTGCGAACCATAACCACCTAACCCCCTTCATGCCCTCCTAACCTAACCAACAGCCGATGTCCGAAGCTTGAGGTTCAAGCTATGCAGACCTGGTAGTGGAGGGGCTTTAGTTGTCTGCTCAAGGTGTTTCCAAAGTTTCCCACGCGAAAAAAATGCTGAGCCCCTAACCTCTGCATCTCGTGAAGGTATAATTCACACACTCCGGAGCTATGGCTTCACGTGATGACGCCAAGTCGTCATCCGCAAGGACGACCACAGCTTCCTTTGAACAGGCTGCTTGGAGAGATGAACTCCCCAACAGCAGGATACATGCGGAATTTACTGGGTTGCTGTTAAGGAACTTAAAGTAAGTTACCATAATGGGAATATATAGTAAATTATAGGGTTTCCCCAATATAGTAACTTAAATTAAGTTCCTTAACAGCAACCCAGTTTAGAGGCCTGTGCTGGGTACGGCCTTCAAAGCATAGGACCATCATGTTCTGGCCTTTGGTTAGCTGGGAGTGAAGGGATGGAAAAGAAAAATGAAGACTTCTATCATGGGTTCTACAGGGACTACTTTAGGGATCAATTCCTCCCTAAGCCCATAATGGAGCTACTACGAGGATCCAGTCCTTCATTTCTAGCTAACCAAAAGTCGTCCTTAACAAGCCCTACATTTCTCCCCTATATGAATCCTTATATAAGCCCCTGTAAGGGGTGTAGACTATAGCTCATGTGGTCTCAGCAGGAGGTGTGTGTGCCTGGGATTTCACAGTGTCGCAGGCGAGAGCAGTTCGTTTTTGTGTGAAAACGCACGAAATTACACGAGATTCAAGATCGAATAGTGCACGCAACAGTCTGAGTCCTGGCCAGACTTCGGGAAATCTGATTGCAATAGCACTTGAGAGTGGTTGGGTGGAACGGCTGAGCTTTCAGCGGGTCAACTTGCCGACGGGGCTCCTACTACTAGTAGGGGCTAAGTGCGGGAAATGAAAATACGTCATGAATTTTCAGGATCCTATAGTTGTTCAGGGCTCTCCTGCAAAAGACCCACCGTTTGCGACATCCTGTTGCTTAGCAACCCAGACGAACCTTCTTGATATGCCTGCCGGCTGAGGATACCTCCCCGGAACGTGAAGGCTTTGAGGAGGTACTGGATGCTGAGCAGCCGCGGGTAGCACGCTGGCACTAGCTGCTAGGGTTTAGGGTTTAGGGTTCTAGCTGCAAGAGGATTGGAAGGATTGGCCCCCACAAGCGTGTACCCTAACCTCTACATAATCCATACTTCCATGTCTATATGGGGCTTAATAGAGATGCAGAATTATAATCACCGGCCTTACGGTCCTAGATTCCTGGTGTAACAACCTTTACAAACCCAGTCTCCATTTTGATTTTCCATGTTCTTATTTGATTCTCCATCATTGGGCTTGTATACCCCATATATAGCTCAGCATTGCGCAAGGAGTCAGGCAGCGGTTAGGGGCTGTTTAGGGATTATGCGGTCTTGACATTTGGCTCATTATGAGACGCCCTTTTGGGGCGGCCTTCCGAACCACCCTGCCCAGGAAGCCGCATTTGGGTCCCACATTTCTAGGGGATTAAAAAGCGAGGTACCGTCACCTGCCAGCAGTAGCCAAAACTATGCATCAACCATGTCGTTTCTGTACTCTGCCACTTACCGCTGGGCCTGCTAGACCGCGACTAAGTTGCACGAACGTCAATCCAAGCTTCAGGCATACGAAACCCTAGGCGCTACAAAACTGTGCGAAAACGCTAGCGTAAACGGCGCAGCGTGCTGTTAGATACGCTTGGCGATTGCTTGTCGGAGGGCGGGCAGGGGGGGGGGGCAATAATTAGTTATCCCTTTTGGCGGCCCTGATGATGATAGAGATATTCAAGTACGGTCAAGCCCCCTAATTTTCCAAGACTTCAATCTAGTAATACTGAGGTGAAAGGTTCAGAGATGGTCATGAATCTCATCGTCGGAGGACCTGTGGACTGGTTGTTTGTTTTTGAATCGGTTGGGCCCTATTTTGATACCTCCCCAGGTACAAGGTGCCAGATTTTACAGGGTTCCCATAACTTGGAAAACAACCTCTGCACTCGCAATGCCTGAGCCTCCCACCAGGCTCCAGAATCAACAGTCCTTGTGTTTGCTCAAAGATAGGAAGAAGTCAATAAACCTCTAATGACTGTTGCATGGGCCTTCTTATCACAAGGGTCTAAACTCCTAGGGTCCCCTCAGTAAACCCTATAATACTCACCCATATAGTCCCCTACATAAACTCCTTTCAGGAGTTTGCACTACAACTCAAGTGGTCCGGATCATAGTCAGCACGCGCCTTCTGGACATCTCTGTTGCAGAAAATTCATGTCCAGCCGCTGGACGAGTTTCCCAAAATATTCCATATGAGCTGTCGTGTTAAAGTGTTTGGTGATTCCAGGAACTTAGCCTCCCTGCTATCCTCAAGCACGGGTGAGTGGGGAGGTTCGCAAAAAAGAGTGTGCCCTCTCAGGGGCCGTGGGGATACTTTCAGATTACAAAGGAAAAAACGGTTCTATATGACCTATAGTCTACACTCCTAGTATCCCCCTTTGTATCCTCTCTGGCAGTCCCCAAGATAACCCCCTTTCTAGAACCCCCTTTTAAATTGTTTAGCAGCGGAGAACCAAATGGAAAAGAACATGGAAAATCAATGGAGACTATACTTAGAATAGGGTTGGAATGGGCTTAGTCACTCAAGCACCAGTAGGCCAGTAGGCCAATACTTGTGCCAGGATTGGGCACTGGGATGTTGAGTCTCCCATGGGCCATGGCCGGGGCATCCGTGGCAGTGGGCGTGTCCATCATTGTGCCGCTCATGCTGCCACGGTAGGTTATTGGAAGTTGCTGTCCGCTTTGGGGCCCTGCTGTAGGATGGCGCTAAGCTGTAGCACCCCAAGCCCTAAACTGGTGTTTCAAGTTAAGAGGGACCACCCTTTTGACAACTCCTTACCTCAGCAGAGTGAACGACTTCGTTTCCTCCGGTTGTAGAGTCAAGTTCATACCCGGTTTGATCTTCAAGATTTACCATATTGACACTGAGTACCTTATACCCTGGAGGGCATGGTGTGCTAGCGTACCAAGGTCAGGCAACATGGCTACTGTCAACGTTTTTGACATACAAGCAATGCGTAACGGCGTGATGTAAGCATACTGCACCATGAGAGTTCCCGATGTTTGTTTTAAGATCAGAGCAACATCTTGCCACATCTAGATATCTGCCTCCCCGAGAAACGAAGGACCCAAGTCGCCAAACATCATGGACATTCCTCGAATCCATGCTACAACAACTTACCTCATTCTAAGTTCCCAAGTACTGGATTGTGGAGCCTCCGGGTAATAGAGAAGCCTGAAAAAAGATCATAGGCCAAGGACAACTTGTAGTCAGGATAGGCTATACATAGCAAGGGCATGCTCAATTTTGTAGGGCCATCGCTGCAGTATAGAGCTTGCGGTACCTACCCTCTACGACAGCATGCCTACAAAATGGCGAGCAGCAGGTGGCAGAAATTGCTGAAATTATAGATCCTCTTAAGTAGATGGAATATGGCTTTGGGTATATTACAATAAGACCCCCATTTACCCCGTATTTTATCTACTTAAGGGAGACTATAACCCCTAAACCCTAAACCCTATATTCTGTGTTGCAAAAAAACAACCCTCTATTCCATCTATATAACCCAATATAGTAGTTTCCATGTTCTTTTCCATTATCCCAATATAACCCCCCATAAACCCTAAACCCTTGAGTAATTGACTAGATGTTTTGGGGCGTATGAGGGGGACCCTGATTGCCGGAACGTGCAACTTCTGCCAAGGTTGGTGGTCGCAGTGTCACTTGGCTAATGGGCAAGGCTTAAGGGGTTTAGGGTTTTAGGGT